AATTTTCTTTGGTGTAGTTCGGCTCTCCTTTAGCTTGTTGATGTGCGGCATGGGTTGGATAAGGGTCTTGTAACTCTTTTCCACTCCTTAAAGAAATTGCACTGACATTCTCTCTAAGAGGTACCTTTGATTGTGATGGCATCCTTTGTTGACCTTGTGTCTTGAGATCACTCAAATCACTAGCTAATTGACTTATTTGTTTTCTCATCATCTCCATAGCTTCCTTGATTTGTTGTAACTCAATGGCTTGTGAAGTTTGAAAATTAGGTCTTTGAAAATTCGGCCTTCCTTGAAAATTACCTTGGTTCCCATATTGTTGACTCGGTTGTTCAGGTCTCCAATAAGGTTCAGGCTTCCTTTGATAAGCTCCTTGTAATCCCACGGCATCGACTCCTTGCTTGTTGTCTTCCCAAGTCGCACAAACCCTAGGCACACTTGAAAAATTCGCATGGAACAAATCAGTGAGCAAAGCGATTTGTTGATTCGTTTCTTGAAGTTGTTGCTCCAATGAGGTGGAATAGGTAGAAACTCCATTAATTCTTCTTATAGGGCCTTCTCTTGAAAAGTCTTCTCGAGATCCAAATTGTTGAGTGTTTGCAGCCATATTTTCCACTAAAGACCAAGCTTCGGCAGGAGTTTTGTCGATGAAGGCTCCTCCACTTGCAGAATCGATGGAAGATCTGTCAAACGGTAGTAATCCTTCGTAGAAGTACTGGATCAGCAACTGTTCATTGATTTGGTGATTGGGGCAGCTCGCACAAAGTGTTTTGAAACGTTCCCAATATTCATGCATTGTTTCTCCATGGCGTCGCTTAATTCCACAAATCTCCTTCATTATGCTTGATGCTTTATGTGCAGGAAAGTACTTTTCCAAGAACAGCTTCTTAAGGCTCGTCCAAGATGTGATTGAACCAGTGGGTAGTAGGTACAACCAATCTTTTGCTCGGTCTATAAGAGTGAACGGAAAGGTTCTTAACATGAATTGATCTTCAGGAATACCTTGAATACTTGTAGATGCGCAGGCAATCTGGAAATCAGTAAGATGTCGGTGAGGATCTTCTCCAGGCAAACCGTGAAATTTGGGTAAAATCTGAATAAATCCAGATTTAATTTCAAAGTTTTCAGCTGTATTTGGATATTGGATGGCTAAGCGTTTGGTGTTGACGTTTGGTGCAGCTAACTCTCTCAGAGTTTTGGGTTGTTCTTCAGCCATGTCTTCTGACGATGTTGAAACAGCAGATCTAGGAGAACTTGGTTGAGAATCGAATCGGATGCTTCCTCTTCTTGTAATCGGTTTTGTGTCTTCTTCTTCTTTTTCTGAAATAGTGTTCTTTCAGGCTCAGGATTGAATTCTAAGCCTTCAGTACTACTACTTCTTGTCTTTGGCATGCAGTTTCCTAGAAAAATCAAACAAAACTAAAAAGAAAAAATTAGCAGTAACAGTTCTTAAATAAAATAAAAAATTAAAAGCAGAAACAGAAAATAAAAATATTTTTTTTATTTTAAAAAGGAAAAACGGAAAAGAAAATTAATTTTTTTAAATAAAAATCGGAAACCCTAATTTTAAAAACGGAAAAATAAAATTTTTTTTATAGAAAAATCGGAAAAACGGAAAAAACTTTTTTTTATCGAACGCAAACATTTTTTTTTTAGAAAAAACGGAAAAACAAAAACAAAAAACTAATTTTTGGATCTAATCTCTCTTCACTTTCTCTCAATTCAATTCCCTTCCCCGACAACGGCGCCAAAATTTATGATCGTGTCGTCTATGACCATAAAAATAATCCCCACAAATAACTAACTAGAATAGCTATGGCAAGTAAGGGTCGAATCCCACGGAGAAGGTTTATGTGATGAACAATTAAAAGATAGAAAGATCTTTTCCAAAAATCGATTAGAAAACAGGGGATTAAATAAATAACAATTATAAAGAAAACAATTAAACTAAAAATCAAAGCAAAGCAATTCTAAATCTAAATCTAAATCTAAAATCTAAAGCAAATTAATAAAGCAAATTAATAAAGCAAACAATAATTATAAAGCATACTTCTTCACCAGTGGTATCCTTCAATCAAATTAACTATGGATCCTAGATTTAAAAGGTGAATTTCGCATCTTATTCTTGACTGACAACTGATATAGGTTTCCCAACATGTATTTTAGATAAGAGGCCGATTAGAGCTGCAGTTATCCCTATTATTCCTTCAATGATCGATTACTTTCTTAGGGCTTAAAGATCACTTGAGAACAAAGCATTAAGAACAGTTAATTTTACACACATGCCTATAAATAGAACCATACGAAGAGAAATTTCTCGCCCTCCGGTAGACAAATACCCATTAAGCAGCGATTAAACAAACCTAATTTGCTACATACAATCAAACTTGAGTGATTAATTCTAAGTATGATCTAGCCATAGATCTTCCTCTTACATCCTTAGCGGCCACATAATTTAGATAAGATTCAGAATCATAAAATTATTCTAGGGTTTTGACTACTATCATCAAGAACTTAACACAAAATTATAAGTATAGAAATCTCATCATAATCAATTGATTGAATTCACCAAAGGATCAGAAGTATTAAGGATTTAGCTACTCATGGATTTAGGAAAATCCATGAGAGGCATAAGAATACTTACAGGACTGGGAGAGGCGGAATCTCCCCTTTGAAAACCCTAGGGACGTCGACTCCCTCTATTGCTAGAGAGGGTGTCGACTTCTCCCCTTCTAAAACTAGAGAAAAACCTAAAAACTAAAGAAATGTAGAAAAAGAGAATAATCTAAAATTTGTGGATTGTGAAGTTGTGTGATTTGTGATACAGGAGGTGGCTATTTATAGTGGAGAATAAGGGTAGGATGGTTTAGGCTCTTTTCTTGGAGTCCAAGTAGGATTAGGTGTCATCCTAGAGTAGTCTCCAAGTCAAAAGAGGACTTCTAGAATTTCCTGGAAATTTCTGGAAAATTGAGCAGGGACTTCGACTTCAGTTTCGGGCTTGAAGATGGCAGATCTGGGCTTTGCACTTCAAAAGAAAGTTGTAGATCCCGGAGTTAGCTTTCCAACGAGTACTCTTGGGCTTAAAACGGACATCTGAGCAGAAAGTTATGGCCTTTCTACGAAGACTGCGCTGAAACCGGGCTAATATCGCAAATCTACGGGATTATTGCGGGATTTGGATATTCTTTTGGATATTAGGCCTATTAATTGAGATTTTAACTTCAATTATAGGTTTATATGGGCTGAGTATATTTCCATATAAATAATCCAAAAATCCTCAACTTCAGGGCTTCTTCTGGGCTTGTCTTCAATCCTTAACAAATTAAGCTCCAAATCTTCAATTTTGCTTCTTGAATTAATTCTTCAAATCTTCAAAATATCTTTAATTACGAACTTCGAATCTTCAAATCTTCATACCAAGTGGCTAAATCCATAGTTGAGTAAAAAGTCTCCAAAATAGCTCCAAAAAGAGTGAAAAACAATAAGTTTTCACTTTTCTTGTCTTCAGGACCTAAAAACACAAATACTTACAAAATAGGGTAAAAACACATATAAAAATAGCAAAAAGCATATAAAAATAGCTATAAAAACATGCATAATTTGAGCTCGATCAGTAGGTCTGGACGGCAACCTCTCCTCTTGTTCTCCAAATTGTCTAACCTAATTTTGAAGAGAAAATGTGTCTATTTATACTAGAGATTTAGGGCAAATTTAACCTAGGACAAAATAGACTTTTAAGCTCATTAAACCATCTTCAATTGGGTGGAATTTCGTCCTCTAGGTCTGGGCTATCTTCAAATACCGAATTTAGGCTAAGCATATCAATTTGGGCTTGATTTCATGGGCTTTTCTAGGTCCAGCATGTTTGCAGAAAATTCAGGGGCATTTTCGTCTACGATAACGGCAAAACTGGATTTCGACCAAAACACGAAAGTTGTTGATCTTGGAGTTAGCTTTCCAACGCCTACTCATTTTCCTCATTCAGAGTTCTGGATCAAAAGTTATGGCCAAAATACAGAATGGTCGCCAAATCTGGAAACAAGTGAAGGGGCTTCAAGGTGAAGACACGCATGGATGCTGGGTGGCGTGCGCGTGGGTGCTTGCCCCGACTCCCCCTGGGCGCCCATGTCGTTGGCTTGTGCGCCTAGGGCGTTGGCCTCAGGCCCCAGGTCACTTGCGCCCATATGTGTGCTGGGTGACGCTCCCGACTAGCGCTGGGCGCCCATGCGGCATGCTTGGCGCCCCATGTGGTTTGCCTCGCGCCCCATGTGCTTCAGTGCTATGACGCCTCTTGACATGTCTTCTTGCCTTGAAATTCAACTTTGCTCCTTTGCTTCAAACTCTTGATAATCAATCTTATGATGGTAAAATTGACTCTTCAAGCTCTTCAATCACGATCATATTGGCTCCATTCTTCATCCAAATTGTCCTTGAAAAATATTTGTGTAACTAATCATCCAAAAAGGCTCCAAAAAGGCACAAAATTGGTGATTTTGCAGTTTTCTTCCCTTCAACACCTATAAACACAAATATACCAAATATAAGGCATAATCAAGCATAAAATACCCAAAAAGCATAGAAAAATGACCATAAAAAGATGCATAATTTTGGTCTGATCACTTGCACTACGGGGATTTTTTAATGTGGGTATAATTGTTTATACTTGTTATTTGTTTTGCAAGTGTTGATAAGTGCTTAATTTACATATATTAATGTTAATTTTGGTGTTTATCTTATCAGTTTTGATTATTTGGTGCTTAATTTCCTTTGATTTTGTTCCATATGTGTAATTGAAGACTTTGTGAAGAAAAAAGACTAATTTGAATGAAAATAGAGCTAGAAGCACCAAGGTGGAATTTAACCAAGTCAAAGTAGAGAGAAAGCTATGTTAAGGCTTAGTTTGGAACTATAGAAAAAAAATTAGGGAAAGGAAAATCTTAAGGAAAATTAAAAACTGAGGAAATTAAGTTTTTTTTTTCTACTAAGGAACAAAAATTAAGAAATTACAAACGTAAAACATCCTCCCCTGACTTATCGCCTGCAAGTAGAGGCTGAAGTTGTTCCGGAGGTTCTAAAACCCATGTCACTCCAGGGGGGCCTTCGTGAGCCAAAGTTGCCAACATATCCGCACATCTATTGCCTTCTCTCAAAATATGATGAATCTCAGCGATCCAATTACCAGTAATCAACTCGTAGCAATCACACAGGTAAGTATAGCAAGGATGAACCATACTTACCTTTGTTTTAAGAAACTGAACTACTACTATAGCATCCAGCTCCACCACTAAACTCTTCAAACCCATATTCCTAGCCATGATCAAGCCTTGTCTAACTCCCCAAAGTTCTGCACAAAGACTAGAAGTTCTCCCTATATTGAGCATGAAACCTCCAACCCAATTACCAGCATCATCGCGAAGCAATCCACCAGCCTACGCATGACCATCTTGAGACCTTTTCGAGCCATCCGTATTCAAAATGTAAGAGCCCCTTGCAGGTGGAATCCACTTCACTAGTCTCGGCAAGGAAGTACTATGTTGAACACCTTTATTCCATGCTAAAGAGGAATCCTTTGCTAGACCAACCCCATATCGTAACACTGCTTCGGCACTAGGACAAACATCCTTAAATATATGGTTGTTTCTAGCCTTCCATAAACTCCAAAGAATCGAAACAAAAAGGCAACTCCAAGAGATAGGCAATTGACCATTAGGTACAAGAGGAGCCACTTTTAATGCATTATCATGCAACCAATCCTTAAAGCTTGTTAAAGACCTTGTTTGAATACCAAACCTCTGATAGACACACTCCCAAACTCCAATCGAAAAAGGGCATTAGCGAAGAACATGTTCAATAGACTCCACCTCAGCCCCGCATAATTTACAATTCAAGTTGGATGCCATTCCCTTCCACGCACCTCATTGGTATTTAAACAATTGAATACGCCAACCATAAGAAGAAACGAATGCGTTCTGTGGTGTGCAGCCTCCAAATCCACCTACAACTTCCCGATAACGCATCTGGACCAAAATGATTAGCCAAGCTTCCATAAGCCGATTTATTCGTAAATACTCCCGACTTATCCCAGGCCCAAAAGCATCTATCTCCTACCCCTGGGGATATGGGTAGGGGTATAGCTCGTATTTCATCAAGCTTCTCAAGGGCAACAATCAAGCTCAAATCATCTAAATTCCATGATCCTTCATCCCTGATGAACGCAGCAACTTTGGTATTGCGATCCAAAGAGTGCTCTGGATGAGGAATCTCCTGACACAACGCTCTATCCCCAACCCATTTATCTAACCAAAAGTTCGTAGTAACGCCATCCCCAATACACCATTTCGAGCCATTTCTTATGCAATCCACAGTTTTCCTTATCCCTCGCCAAGTGGAAGATTGTCTACCATGCGGCTTATTCTCAACAAACCCAATACCTTTTAAATATTTCTGCTCAAAAAACATCAATACACAAAGAGTTCTGCCTTGTATGAAGCTTCCACCCCGTCTTCGCCAAGAGTGCAACATTCATAATTTTTTCCTTACGTAAGCCCAATCCACCATTACCTTTCGGCCGACAGACTCTGTCCCAACTCACGAGATGATAACCAGACTTATCAACATCACCACCCCATAGGAAATTTCTATTGATTCGATCCAAAGTCTCACATGTCGATGCCGATAACATAGCTGTTTGCATGGTGTAAATTGGAATACTACTCAAGGTAGACTGAATCAAGGTTCGCCTACCAGCCTGGCTAAGGACCTTCCCTTTCCAATTAGCTAACCTTCGAATCACCTTGTCGACCACGTAGCTATACGTATCTTTAGTCACCCTCTTGTGAATGAGAGGTACTCCCAGATAAGTGCCCAGCTCTTGCATCAAAGGGATACCACAAATTCTACTCAACACCACTGCTTTCGAGTTATGCACATTAGGAGAAACCCACATTCTTGACTTCTGCAAATTCGATCGTAGACCAGAGGCTTTACCAAATTCCTCCAGGGTATCCATAACATTCTCAAACTGGGAATCAGAAGCCGAAGCAAATAATAACAAATTATCTACGAAAAATAAATGAGACAATTTAGGACCTGATCTCGAAGAGTTAACCGGCTGCCATTTGTTTGTGATCTACCTTCTCCAAAATCATGTGAGATAATCTCTCAATCACCAATATAAACAAATATGGCGACAAAGGGTCACCTTGTCGTAACCCCTGCTGAGGTTTAAAATGAGGGAGTGCATCTCCATTCCAAATAATTGATAATTCTGTATTAGGAACACAAAACATAATTAATTGGACAAGAGGAGCAGGAAAACCATAGAAAACCAGAACTTCCTCCAGGAATCGCCAATCAACATTGTCATAAGCCTTCTGGAGATCAATTTTCGTCACCATTGCCCCTTTTCTACCCTTCAAATTAGACAAAGTATGAATCACCTCTTGGGCAATGAGAATATTATCAGAAGTGCTTCTACCCGCCAAAAAACTATTTTGATAAGGGCCAATAATTCTTTGAAGAATCGGCCTCATCCTATTCACAATCACCTTGGACAAAATTTTATACCAAGTATTCAACAAAGTAATTGGCCGAAGGTCCCTAACTGACCCTGGATTTTGTCCTTTTGGAATCAAAACCATGTGTGCCCGTAGTATATTCAATTCCACCTGTCGCTGCTCAAAGGCGTTCTGCACAAAAGAAACAAGAGAAACTTGTACACTGGACCAATGCTTTTGATAAAAAATGGGTTGAATGCCGTCTACCCCTGGGGCTTTAAGGCCCTTCATTGAGAAAGTCGCCTTATGTACTTCATCTAAAGAGATAGCAGCCAACAAGCTTAACCTCTCCTCCTCATTAAGCTTTGGAGCAAATAGATCATAGACTGCTGGTAGAAATTCCTGCATCTTGCGACTAAATAAAGTGAAGAAAAAATCTTTAACATGAGAACTTAACACTGCCTGATCCGTGGTCCAAACATCCGCAACATTAAGTCCCACAATCAAATTTCTATTCCTCCGCATCACTGTAGTTAAATGGAAAAACTTCGTATTCCTTTCAGCATTGTAAATCCAATCAAGTCTAGACTTTTGAAGCCACAATAACTCCTCTTGATATAACACCTGTTGAAACTCCTCACGAAGCTGAGCTTCCAGCTTTTGTAAGTAATTAGATACAATTAGATCCCTTCAATTTTGAATGCCTTTTAACCTGGCTATCAAGACCCGTTTCTTGGTAAAAATACTACCAAAAATCTCAACTTTCCATCGCTTCACCTCCCTTGTTACTTCCGCAATAGAATCCGAAACCGAATCCCCACCTTTAGCCCAGGCCGTTGCAAAGAGATCTGAAAAATCTGGGTGTGTAAGCCAAGCAGCCTCAAAACGAAAGGGTCTATGCGGAGCACTCCCGAGATTACAAGCAAAATCTAACAATAAAGGATGATGATCAGAACAAAGGCAAGGCAAATTCATTAATTTAACATTTGGGATACTTTGCACCGCTGATAAATTCCATAAAACTCTGTCCAGTTTTTCTTGCAATGTGACGTGCCCTCCAACATGTCTCTGCCAAGTAAATTTGCAACCCAAAGCTTCCATATCCAACATGTCACGCCCCGACCCGGAAGTCGAGCACGGACAACCGCCATGTCACCTCGAAACATGTGCCAGCCGGTCACGCACTCCGAAGCAACACGAAGCGTCAATATCAGATTAAAAACAATAAAAACGAGAACATAGAATAAATTTGAGATACCCGAGTTTATAAATCAGAGTAAAAGCGGAATCGTCAAAAACCGAGATAATAAAAGTATTTTAAATCGAAAACCAAATCAAATCCAAATAGTAAGTTAGTAAATAAAAAACAAGATACGAGGAATGACAATAAATAGAGACAATGCTAGTGGGACCCGTCATGTAGTGAGAAGTACCTCTAAGAGAGCAGTGAATACATCCTATGCCACCGACTCGACCGCCATAGGGAACGCAGAGTCCCAACTACCCTGAAAACACAACAAGAATTTGAAGGGGTGAGTACACGAATGTACCCAGTGAGTGAGCCACCCTCAAAAGAGAACCAGAAGAGGGTCGGGTGCACTCACAACCAAAACAGTTCATAAAACAATTTTAATAAAAACAATCGGTGATAACAAAGCCATGTTACTAAATACAGTTCTCAATCTAAAATCAGGGCTGCCATCAAAACATATCTGAAGTAACCTTGGCCCGAGTCAACCTTCGGAACCATCAGGGGCAAATCTGTCATGTCATATGTCATGAAAATATCCTGCCCGTCCCCCTGACGTTGGCCTGGGTCCGGCATTGCGTGGTGGCCGCAACACACCCAGTTTGGCTCTCCCATGCACACGCCAACGGCTAGCTTGCGTGTCGGGTCTGGAGCCGACGACCATGTGGATCCATCACAATCATGATCCGCCAAACAACAATCTACTAGCTAGTACTCCACCATAATCAGCCATACGTACTCTCTGGGCTGCGTCCAGCCCACGAGTCCCCGTATGCTTACACCCATTTCAAAACCATTTTCAATGGTAGCTAATGCACCCAAAACATTTTAATAAAAATCATTTATAAAAACAATTTATTAGAAACAATAATAAAAATAAGTCCCTCAATGGGTTCTCCGTTTAGGACAGCCCATTCACAGTTCAGGGGACTCGTACAACCCCAAAGTCAATCCACTGTGAGCCTAGCCGATGTCTCAATCAGCGCCTCAGCCGTCTGATTGAGAAGCACGTCTAACATAAGAAAATCGTTAAAACCAATTTCATAATCAAAGTCACAGATCAAAGTAATAAACCTAAATACCCAAATAATCATATAAAATGGAATAAGATCACATAAACACATAACCCAAGACCCACGACCTAACATCAAGGATTATAACTTGTCTATTTATGTCTTTCAGGGTTCTACTACGAGTTTTAGATTCATATACACTCTCTAGGGCTCAATTGATCAATTCTAGCCTTTAGGGGCAAAACTGTAATTTTGATCGATCAAGGGTAACACGGTAATTTTACATTCGTAGAGTACGGTGACATTTCTTACGTGTTATAGTTGTGACCCTAATTGGTCGGATTCGAAATCGTGACTTAACGGGATAATATTAACACACTTTAGCTAATTAAGGGTAGAATGGTAATTCACCCACTCGAAGGGTAAAACGAGAATTTTACGTTCCTACGAATATTACAGTTTTATACGAAAATCGTTTAGACTTATTAACGCAACCAATGTTGTTGAATTCATTAAATTCCTCTTCTATGGGTAGTTTCGTAATTTAGCATACTAAGGACGATTTAATAATTTTACCCGTCCAAGGGTAAAATTGTAACTTCCAAATTTATTGAAACCCAAATCCTTATTCCAAAGTTCTTATTTTCTTTTTTAAAAAGAAGTTGGGTCCAAGGCCCAACATTTCCTCTTCTCCTTCTTTTCCTTTTCTTTTTAATAAATTGGGCCTAGCCCGTAATTTCTTTTTTCTCTTTCTTGCTTGGGCTTGGGGCCTAACTGCCCAAGCCTGGCCTAGGCGCCAGGCCAAGCGCTGGCCCGCGCGCCTGGCCTAGGCACTGGCCCGCGCGCCTGGCCTAGGCGCTTGGGCCATGCGCCCTGCTGGCCCAAGTGGCACCTTTTTTTTTTTTTTTTTTTCTTTCTCTTCTTATTTTCTTTTCTTCCGGCAGCTCTTAAGCTCACCGGAATCCGGAATTTTCCAGATTCCGGCAGCCCCAAAAATGGTGATTTTAATATTTATCTTTAACCAACTTATTCCCAAGTTCACTCCAAAACACTACCAAGCAATTCTAACACCAACCCAATTAATAATAATAATACTTTTCATCATCAAATAAGATAAAATAAAGAGATCCTTACCAAGAATCAAATCCAAACTTTCCAATCTTTCTCCCACATCCTTCACCAAGCTCCATGCTTACAATTGCCATACTTTAAGCCTCAAATACACCCATAACAAACATTGTATTAATTTCGTGTTGATACAAAATTAAAGTATCAAGATTCCTATATAAAATCACAACTTACCCAATCATTTTTGAGCTCTATTGCCACTATCAAAGCCTTGGAAAAATTCGAATCCAATGGTGCAAACATGACAAGCAAGGTGAGAGGATCAATTCTAACAAATTGCATGTTGATTTCATGGTGAGCTCATTGATCTATTGAAGAAGGAGATTTCAGTTTGAGAGGGGAAAGTTCAACAGAAACCATCGAAGAAGAAGGTGATGGTGTTTTTATATTTAAAATATTGGGAAAATTGCCAAATAGTCCTCTCACCTTTAGAGCCATTTCATATTAACCTTTAAACTCTTCTTTTGTTTCAATTGGACCCTTAATTTCTGTAAACCTTTACTCCATGTCCATGATATTAATTTTTCTTAATCAAATGTATTTTACGGTATTACACAACAGATTACATGCATCCCATATTTCTCTAAATTTTTCAATCCTCCTGAATAAACTGCGAACCTCCTCCTTACCACCCCATCTCTCAGTAAGAGCAGCAAAATCATTGAAGTCACCCATAACTAACCATGGGGAAGAAATAGAATGAGAAAGCAACTTTAATTCCCCCCAAAACACATCCTTCCAAATAGGTTGTGGTCGAACAGACACAAACGACACCAAGAATTGTGTGTTATTAAAACCAATGCTAGTATGTAACAACTGATTAGAGTGAGAAACCACCGTCAAGTCTACATCAGTCTCATTCCAAAACAGTGCCAACCCACCCGCCATACCTTCAACGGGGACCTCGAAAACATTTTGAGAAATGCAGCAACTTAGCTAGCTTCTGAATAGAAGGCGAAGCTGCCTTAGTTTCTAAAAGACACAAAACATCAGGCTTATAACTTCTGACCATTTCCTTGCAGGTCCTACGAAAATTAGCATAACCAATCCCCTTGCTATTCCTCGAAATAACCTTAATTAAACTGACAAAGTAGAATTTTGTTGGTTCAAACCAATTTCAACCTGCATGCTATCAACCTGCGAATCTTTGCTCTGATTAGAACTAGAAGACGAAGCAATTGGAATTTGCTCCACCTCCTCCTTGCCACCACCATCAGGTTGACATGCTCCACTTGCAACATCATGCTTAAGACTACTACTATGTCCTCTTCCAAAAATCATAATTGGGGCTTCAACACTTTGAGAAGAAATCAAGTCCAGCGCCTGTGTAATAGTGTTATTACCATCATCTTTATTGGTTTCACTAATCACAAAGCACCGTCCTTTTTGCTGGGCTTTATTGACATACAACCCAAGCCCAGGTGAAGCTGTTTTCTTGGATTTGGAAGTAACTTCAGGCCCATTTGACCTGACACCTGTAGAAAAGGAACCTCCTCCTTTATTGCCAGCAGCAAAAAAATGTCCCAGATTCAAAACATTCTTGCCCACCTTTTTAGAGATTTCCTCATTGACTCCCACGATTTTATCTTGCGAGGATTGTGCTGCCATATCCTTCAAAACCGACTTTGGGATATATTGCTGTTTAACTTGCAATTTAGTAGGATTTCCACTTTTCACTCCCGAGACATTAGCTCCAGCTATAACCTTTCTTACTGTTATCCATCAAATCATTTAAATTTTGAAATCTATTCCGATTATCGTGGGCAACCAATTTTCCGCCGTAATTCTTGCCATTAACTGCACCCCCTTTCCCAGGATTTCTCTTGCGGCGTTGAACCATCATCTATGACCCATAATTACTATCTACACCCTCCTCTTGCGGTGTTTCCGGGACAACAGTTGATGGCGACTCCACCACCACTTCTTCCACTGGAGGACCCTTCTTCAAACACTCATCTTTGCGGTGACCAAAGATACCACACTCAAAACAGATCAAAGAAAGTCCTTCATATTCAACCAAAACCTGTTTTCACTCCACCTTCACAAAAGGTTTCAATGGCTGAGATAAATCTATTTCAACACAAACTCATGCGAAACGGCCTCGACTACCCTCTTCCGTAACCTGGTCAATCTTGATCACACGACCAACCTTCCCTCCCATTTTCTTTAAGGCAATCAAATTGAAATATTCCACTGGGATAGCAGGGAATCGAATCCAAGCAACAAGTTTCTCAATCTTGTCGGAACTTGGCATAAAATTTGGCTTCCATTACCTAACAGTGAGGTAGTGGCCACCAATAATCCATGGACCTCCTTGCAAGACATGTTCATAATCCTGCTTTTTTTTTCAAAACGAATAATAAAATAATCATGGTCTAAATCTGTTACTCTGTACTCGCCCTCCAATTTCCACATCTGATGGATCTTTGCTTGCAGACCATTATAACCAAGCGATTTTCCCAACAATTTAACAATCAAGGCGTTCCTCCAAGGCTTTCGCATAGCCTCCTTTTCTTCCTTGGTGAAGGTGATACAATCATCATCACCATCTCCCATAAATTCAGAATCCGAATCCTCTCCATATGACATGCCCATTAACGGATCTTCGTTTGCCCAGTCAGACCAAACTTTTGGGATGGTTCTGTTCACACCCTTAACCATATCAGAGAAAGAAACTGAGTCCATCCCTTTGTGAGAGACACCTTCCTTGTCAGAATTCCATTGCTCTTCTATCAACGAGCGAGCCCTCTTGAATTTTTTCTCGTACGCTTATTCACCTCCTTAGCGTTTTCTCCAGAGAGCTCCATTATGTGTAGGGAATTAGATCATAAGAAGTGTTGCTTGCAATTATGATGGAGGGTCAAATCCTGAGGGAATTAAGTGAGAAAAGTCAAAATCTACATTTTGTTTGGATGAAACGAAAAATACTAGGAAAATATCCAACTTTTTGGGATTTGACTCCTCTCCAGTACATTAAAAGGATTGGGGAGGCCAGTCTATAGTTAGGTAATGACATGTGTATAATTAGGAATCTAATGGCTGGGAGTTTTCCTTTCAAAATTAGTGTGTTGTATCAGATTATCCCTCTTTCCCCAATTCTTGTACACTTTTGCCTTAACCCACCTTCTTCTTGCAAATCACAATAATAACAAAAGTAAAACGGCAACTGCCGCTGATCCTCAATTTTCAACACCTTCCCAAAAGCAGGCCCGTCATCTCCTCTCCTTTGTCACAGCACCAGAAAAGAAGCTCCATCCTTCCTCTATTTTATCGCTTCCTATCTCGCTCAACTCATCTCCTTTAATGGTCGAAACTTCCACTTCAGCTTCATTTGCAGTGGTTTTTAGCTCTCATGCTCTGTTTTTTCTTTCCTTCCATGCTCTATTACATATCTATTGCTGATTTAAGAACTTTGCTAGATTTGGGTCTTCTTTTTTATCCTTGCTACTCCTAGATTTGGGTATTTGATTTTCAAATAATCTCCATGTGCGAAAAGTTTTAGATTTCATCTCTTCCAAGTTACCAGAGAGGAAAAACGAAAATTGAGAAAGTATTGAGAGAGACGAAAGTAATCTAGTACAACACAATTATTTTGAATAAAAAAATCTCTGCCATTAGATTATTAATTGTAAACTTGTCATTATTTTAGCATGGACTGGCCTCTCCAGTTCTTTTAATAGACTGGAGAGGAGCCAAATCAAACTTTTTGGCTTTTATTCAATTTCTTATTAGCAACAATCTATATCTATCTATATTATATAGTATATATAAAAGTATGACCTCCTTTAAAACTTTTGAATCACTATTATACTCTTATTTTTCGAATATATTTCTTAGATGCCATTGTTTAAAGTTTTATAGTTTTACTCAACTAAAAAACTCTATTTTTATTTAATTAAGTCTAATATCTTTATAACTATTTTATTTTTTACCAGTTTACCATTTTATTTTAATTAAAAACCTTAAATATTAGAATTTTTTAAATATACTTTTACAGTTTTATTCAATTAAAAACTCTATTTTTATTTTATCAAATCTAATATTTTTGTACCTATTTTATTTTTACAATTTTACTAATTTAATTAAAAAAAATTATAAATTTTTAAAAATAAAAAGAATATTAACATGCAATTATTTCATTTGACTTATAAAGTTAGAGGAGTCAATCGAGCGGGTTGGACGGGTTTCAGGTTCGAGTCATCTGGATAGAGATCAAATGTGGCAGGTAATTTTCTTAGGACATTCAGGTTTCGGCTCATCTAGGTTCAGGTCATTCGGGTCTTGGGTTTGCTGGGTCTAGGGTCAGGCGGGTTTGGGTTTTGGCCTCAGATCACTCGGGTTCTAGGTCATTCGGGTTTTGAGCTTTTTGGGTATAGGAATTGGATTCAATTGGGATTTTATTAAATAAAACATAATCTTAGTTTATACTATTCTTGGATCATTTGGGTTAACTTCTCGGATTATTTTGGCTACGGGTTTGTCGGGCCATCATAGGATGGTTACGGGTTTGTCGGGCCTGCATAGGATTGTTTAAGGTCGTTTTCTTTTTCTGGTCAAATCGGGCTAACTAGGTTGGACGGATTATCGAGTTTGAATCAGATTTGACAGCTCTACTTATAAATAATTTCAATTATTATTTCAATTTTCTTTTAATTTAAACACGATTGGTCACGTGCAACGCACGTGGAAGTGAAGACTAGTATAAAGAAAAAATATATGTTTATTAACTCCACTTATTTGAAACCATAAATTAAAACACTCAATTACTACTATTATTATTTCTTTTTTTTTTTAATTTTTTGCTATATCTTCATTATATATTTTTGTTGATTTTAATTTGAGTAATTAAAATACAAAATTCTGTGGCAAAGAAATTAGAATACAAAATTCAAGTTGGTACTTTTTTATAAAAAGAAAATGAGATAAATAAATTCCAGGTGAAAAAAAGGTAATAAGCTTTTTAATTGAGAAATAAACCAATTAAAAATAAAATTATATATTTAAATTAAAATAAGTTATAATACAATTGAACAAAAGAAAAGGTTGGTTAAGAGGCTGAGAGCGAGACGCCGGGGGTGACATGGAGCCCTCGGAGTTGGGGCCTTTGCTTGAAGCTGGAGCTTTTCAAACAGGATCTTCTCCCTATTTTTGTGATAAGGGATGGTCTCGATTAAATTTTCCCTCATTTAACCTTCAGTTTTGGGGGGAAAGTAGGGGAAAATTTTTATTCTACACTTTCCCTACCATTTTCCTTATTTTTATTTCCCCCCGTAGTTTCCTATTAACCAAACATACAATGAGAAAATGTGAGAATCCATTTTCTTTTCCCTAATTCCAAACTAAGTCTAAGAAAATCTGAAGTAAGCCGCGCGCAGGCTAATCCTTGGCCGCGAGGGGGCAAGATGGAATTATGGACGCCAGATTTTGCCTTGGATAAGCCATGCGCGGGCGACCATTGACATGGACCTATTTTGACTAGTTTTTCTCCTATTCTGGATGTGATTTCATCTATTTTCAACCAATAATTATTTTCTACGAATTTTGGAACAATTAAAGTCAGATTCCACTTATTCCAAGTCTCATTAGGATTTATTAATTAATTGTAATTTTTTTATCTATACTATATTAAAAAGTACGACTTCTTGTAAAACTCTTGAATCATCCATTATACCCTTATTTTTCAAACATATTTCTTAAATGCAATTGCTTAAACTATTATAGTTTTATTCTACTAAAAACTCTATTTTTATTTAATTAAATCTAATATCTTTATAATTACTTTATTTTTACTATATTTGGATATATTCAATATTTTTACTATACTTGGATATATTCAAAAATTTTAATATATAGTTTTATTCTACTAAAAACTCTATTTTTATTTAATTATATTCAATATTTTTATAATTATTATATTTTTATCATTTTAATTTAAAAGGTTATTGTGATTGATGGATTAATGTATTATGATTAAAATTTATTATGTTTAAATTTGTTATTTTACTTTGTTAATATTTTTCTTCGTGTGGGATAATTTCTTTTGTTCGTTAAATAGTAACACCCTATGTATATACAAATGGGCTGGTCGGGTTGGATTTGGATTTGGTTATATAGGTTAGGTCAGTTTCGGATTAAGGAAATTTTGGATTACAGGGGTTTGGTTTATTTTCGGTTTCATGTTGGGTTGGGTTCGAATCGCTCAAAAGTCAAATGTAGGGTCATTTGGGTTCGGGTCAATTCTAAAGTTCAGGTCTTTTTTCGGTTTCGGGTCATATAGTTCGGATATTTTTGGGTTTGAGCCTCGGATTTTCGGGTTCAGGTCTTTTCGGATTCGGGTCACATAAATATAATTAATCCGAATTCGGGTAATTTCAGATTAATCTCTTGGGTTGATCGGGTTTGAATAATTTTGGGTCCGGGTTGGTTCAAGTTCAGGTCATTGAGGATTTGGGTCTGGTCATTTCGGTTTTAAATTGGGCGAATTTTTTGGTTAAATAGGGCTGGTTTTAGGTGGTCGGGTCGGATACCCGCACTCGAGTCAAATTTTGCAATCTCTAATAATAGGCTTCATTAGGACAAAATTAGTATTATACTTAATATTTTAATTTTCATTTAATTTAAACATATTGGATCATGTGCAACGTATGTGAAAGTGACGACTAGTCCCTATAAAAGGGAGAGCTCTTGTATTTATTTTTTATCAACTATTTTACTTGGGATTTTTGGCTCTCTTCAAGATTTCTTCAATGGGGTTTTCTCTCTTTCTTATGTTCTTGAATTATTTTATTTCTAATAATATTGTGTTTTGATATTATGGATATGAGTAGTTAAATCGTTAATTAGGGTTTAGGGTGTAGACAATTGGGGATTATTGTTTGATTTATGTTTTGAATTATTTTCTTTTCAAGTTGTATTTATTTTCCTTGTTCTTCATGAGATTTATATGCTTGGCCATCATATAGATTGTTTAAGAAATTGTGTGATGTACCGACGGGAGAAACATAATTTGTGCACTAGAAAAATAAACAAGTTAGATTAGATTAGACATAATCTTAGGGTAATTTGATAAGTGAATAATTACTTGTTCTTAATGAATTCAGTTGATTAGGTTTTCATCGACAGATAGTTAATCTAATTAATTATATATTCCTGTGTAGACTTGACGGAACACATAGGTAATTAAGTGTAATTCTATTCCAACTTTGAATCGATTCAACTCATAGGTTAGGTAGTAATTTCCCAATCAGGTGAAACTTGAAGCCCTAAATTTTCAATTATTGTTTTCACATCTTTGATTAATTGTCTGCTTTTATAATTTAATTGCTTTTAATTTAAAACTGTCTTGATAATCTCGTAAAATTTCATTCCTTGATAGAATTAATTACAATAGAAGTTCTTTGTTCCCTGTGGGTCCGACTCTCCTGGAATATTATTATTTCAACTGACTCTGTGCACTTGCGGATTAGTCCATCAAGTGTATACTTGTTTCCACACCTAGTAATATAATATATATCATGAGTATATATATCCTTTTAAAAATACATTCTTAAATATCCTTAAAAAGTAAATCCTTTAAAAATACATTCTTAAATATCCATAAAAAACACATCGCTCTTCCTTCGGACAATCTATGATAATTTAAGGAATAAACATTATACAACTTATTTTAAAGTCTTTCCTCAAAT